GGAACAGTCAACAGTGATTTCGAGTGCACTTGTAAGTTGTGAATTGCTGTTAGTTGTAGTCGCAGTGGCCAGTGTACATGTGATTCTCAAGATAGGAAAACGTATCTGCTCTTATTAGTATTCTAGAGGGCTTATTTCACTCTGATGAATGGATACAGAAGTCAGGGTCCCAGGGACGCCAATTTTAGGTTGAGTAAGGCGGCGTAACAATATTAAGTTGCATTCGGACGCCAATTTTAGGTCGAGGTGGCAAATAAAAGGCCTTCAAAAGACGCCAATATATCGAGCTAAAAGGCCATACTCTACAGACTGGGAATATGACACAGCTCAGAATTAGAACACTATTGAATATTGAACACTACTTAATTAGGCTTTTAATTAAGAGCTATTAAGCTTTTAATTAAGAACCTTTTAATTTTTGCACACAGCTCGGAACAAGCTGTGTGTAAGTATCTAATTCCAAGCTGTGTCAGAATTAGTTTTTATGTGTCTAAAACCGTCTCTTCACTTAATCATCTATTAATTTATTTCCCACTTGAAATCAGCAAATACAAGTATAGGTACTCAAAAGATTCCTAATATATTCAAAGACTTATTTAAAAGTCTCAAACCATAATGTTCTTTCTACACAAACAGTTTATCACTATTTGGTAGAGCAAGGTCAACTATCAACTTTGACACATTTTTCAATGTTCTCATCAGGTGACTTGCACTGTCTCTCTTTGGATCCCAACATTTTCCCGCCAGATGGCCCAGACCTAGTGTTTTGGCAATAGTATGGCTCGCAATAGTATGACGTCACTATTTCAACCATCAATGAATGTGCGGAACTAAGACAAAGCTTAATATAAAGGGAAAAAGTTGAGAAGTGTCAGAATTACCCATGATGTTGGAATATTCCATGTTTACCCTACCGGTAATTGATTAATTCTCTATAAATTTACTTCCTTTCAATTTAGAAATTTTTGGTACAATGTGCTGATTTTAATACATATAGCATGTTTTGGTATATTTTAATATTTTTAGTAAGTATATACTCTGTTTACTGCAAATTGCTGGCTTGCTGCATATGTACTGTCATACAGGGTAATAAGGGACGGGCCGGGTAAATCAGGACTGTTGTTGTACATTTTTTAGGAATGTTGTAGCAGCTAAACTAATCCAAATATTGCAAAACTGAAAATAATGGCATAAAGTTCAGCATTTTTACTATCTATGTAGCATAAAGCAAGTTAAGAAATCCTACATTTACTACCCCCTAAAAAATCTCTGAAAAAGTGTCAAAAGCAAGATTTTGTAAAAGTACCTCTCTTGTGGTTCTGTTACTTCTGTAGCAAAAAAATATTTGCAAAAAATTTTTTTTTTGCTACAAAAAATATTTTGTAGCAAAAAAATATTTATTAAAAAATTTACTTACATGAAGGTTGCATACAGGTGTTTCCTTGAAAACACAATTGGCAGAATCTGCGTATCTCCAAAAAAATGGCAGCCATTTCTGCAAGATGGGGGTAATAAGGGGCACTCTTAAAAGCTCAATTATCATAGAATGTCCATGAACAAAAGCTCCAGTTAACAAATATCAATTAACCAGAAATTTTGATTACATTTACATCTCTCAGGAAATAATTTACTTAACAAAAAATTAATGCATCATTGGTCATCACAACTGGGTGACATAGGAAGACAAGTAATTAACCTAAACTATGATTTATTTCTCAAAAAAATATGATGGTTGTCACTAAAATATTCCTTTCTGTTCAATGCATGTTTTTAAAATATTTTTTTGGTACCTATAGTGAATTCACTTGACCCAATTAAAATGGTGTGAAATTACAAGCCATCCTGTAAGCTTACAGATACAGAAGAAATGCTATAAGGCTGCTGATATGGCGCTTGCAGTGGACAAGGTTGTTGTAAGTGCTCAATGGCAGCATGTTCATGGATGTGGTAATATAACATCAAAAATATGGTAATGTATAGATATGGTAATATATCAATAAAGGAAAAATTAATAATAGTCACAGAAAATGTCATTTATTCTACATCCATCTCATCAACAAAGAAAGAGGAGGACTTCAGAGTATAGTCAGATGGGGTAAGACAGGACCGAAATCACTAACAAGCATGTAGCATCTATACCTGTCTCTTATACACATCTAGATGTGTATAAGAGACAGTACCTATACCCGGTAGTGCTTAATGATTCCACTTCTCTGTAGATTGTGACTTTGATCAATATGGAGATGAACAAAGATCTAATAGAAAACACACATTTTTTATCAATATATGCCAGTCATATTGGACCACAATTCAATGCTGCAGATGAACTTGCAATTCTATGCAGAAAGATACCAATGTGATGAAAATAATGAACAATCACTTGACACTGACTCATGGTTGAGATAGTGAATGAGATGCTTCACAAACTGAGAGAAACTTGAAACATGATAACAAAAGGAATNGGTAGGAATGCCTAGTATGTCTCAAAAGTTGCTTATTACTTGAGGTTACCTGCCTACATCCACAAACCTGGCCAAAAATTTTTTTGGAATCAGACAGAGCTTATTTCCCAAATAGGGTTAACTATTTTGTGACCCTTCTTTACATAGGTTTTCTTTAAAAATTAACCAAAAATCCATTATTTGCAGAACAGGGTTGAAACAAACACTGAAATGACTGGCAATGATTGCTCTAACATATTCTTTCATCAAATTAAATTCAGTGCAGTTAGAATGCACGCCATGGGCCGGTCCTTTCTTACCCCATGAAGGCTGCGATCCTGTCTTACCCCATTTGACTATACTGTTAGTAATGGATGAGTACACTTTTAAATTTTCATGCTTCAAATGTTTTAAAATCAAGTTTTATTTCAAGTGTCCCAGATTACCCCATTCCCAGAGGTAATTCGGGACACTTTTATTTTGCGTCTTGCACCTTACAAATAGCATATGGAATTTTTTCAGAAAAGCCATATGATAGCCCTTGCAAAGAGCTTTTAAAATGAGCCCAAAATAGTTTATGAAAGGTTTCATGGTAAGAAGTTATTAACAAAAAATGCTCAAAACAATCCCTTATTACTCCCATTTGATGGTAATACTTTGCTGATGAGGGCTTCAGTGATTGATGTGACTGATGTTTTATTTACAACTGTGAGATTTTATTGACAGCTTGATTGACACATTGGCCCAGTTTTTAAAATCATGGAGATGTGACCATGCTGTATTCTGTGTTCTCAAATTTTTGTATTTGGTGGTAAGATCCACTTGATGTGATTGCATTGAATGCATGGTAGAGTTTAAATGTATTGAAGTCAATATTTTAGGCTTTATGCATATGTAATGGCAATTTTATTACTAGAAAAGCATGCAAAATAATTTGAACAGGCATATTAGCATGACTAACATCCTGTCTCTTTCAGATAGGGTAAAAGTAAGCCATTTTTCTTACTCATTACTGAAAGGCTGAAATTGGCAAGATTCACAGGCATTTTTGCCAATTCAAAGGTGGCTTCTGTGCAATTTATCACTTGGGTGATACAGTAATGTTTTTGTCTATGATACTTTACTGACCTATTCATAGGCCAAAATTAAAAATCTGGCAGAAATCACCCACTCAGCCAGTGAAAAAAATAAACATATCATTTATTGTAGTGAAGTTGGTACTGAAGAATGGACCTTGTGTGCCCTGTTGCCAGTTCTTGTAAATATCATGACTTATTCACAGGAGGCCTTAAAACATGTCCTTTGACCCAATTTAAAAACTGACATTATACTAAACTTCCACCAGGTTTGATATAGCGCTAGGTATTTCAAGTCTGAACAAATACTTCTCAATAGCTTCACCTTGATGTTTGATGTAAAGCTATGTTTGTAGCTTGATGTTTAATGTATTTAAAGTATATTATGGGATAAAATTTCACTTAAAAGTTTCCTCATCACTTTTTTCAAAGGCTTTACATGTAAACTATGTACATATTAAAAAAAATTAATCCAGACTTATTGGTGCAATAAAAACTGCATTGTAGTGATTATGTGTTGATTGAATGCTACAAATTTGTGTTGTAAATAGGTAGTATTATATAGTTTTTACCAAGGAGCAGTAAGTTAGGTGCAGTTTAGTCTGTTCGTACAAAAGATGTCCATAGATTTGGGGCTAAGAAAAGTATACCTATATAAGTATAGTAGTGTTGGCATTAAAGAATAGGCAAAGTTTAGCCTTTTGCCAATTATACTAATCTTCACGACTTGTCTCCCAGCAATCTAAAAAGTGGCCTCTTGACAAGATTGTTCCTGAACTGATATTCCAGCCAATTAGCTAGGGTCTGTGAGGTGGGAAGCAATTCTCATCTTGAAATATATTGTACTGGTATAACTTACCTATGCATAACTTGGTTTGGTTTATTTTTAATGTGCACATTGTTGAGGTATCAATGATACCAGCAAAGAGTAGAATGTCGATGTGGAAATTTTCCTTGAGCTTAGCGCTTATTGTCACAATAAGTACCTTGGTTCTTGACACTGCCATTATCATACATTCATACTGTGGCATCACTCTTACTAACAGCAGTAGATAGCACTGGCTTTAATACTCATTGGCAAAGGGTGGACTCATAAACTAATTTATTAAGCAGTCATGCTGCAAAATATCACAAGAATTTATGTTTATACTCTGGCCAAACAAGTAAGAAGTGCAATGAAAATAATTGGAATAATGTAGTGTGAAATCACATTGCCTTTCAATTTTGTTGATATAGAATATACTAAGATACCTGCTTTAACTAATCTCTCTCTAGGAACGTATTATAGGTTGAAAAACCATAGTAATTTGATATCACCTAATCTGATATCACCTTTGATATTAGTGATGGTCCTGAATAAAATTTTGAATTTTTCCTCCTTAAAATATGGTGATTATTGAGCTCTTTTCCCCACAATCTTCTTTGTGCAATAATCAATTGTATCTGTGGATTAATATTTCTACATATTGTCTCGACTTATACTTTTCTCTGTTAACTTTCAGGCTCTCCAAAAATGGCGCCGGGGTCCCGGAAGAAACATGAAGAGACTGATAAACTAACAAGAATTGCCATTGTAAATTCTGAGAAATGCAAGCCAAAGCGTTGCAAGCAAGAGTGCAAGAAATACTGCCCTGTGGTGAGGATGGGCAAGCTCTGCATTGAGGTGACACCGACTGACAAACTGGCTGCCATCAGTGAAGAGTTGTGTATTGGGTGTGGTATTTGTGTCAAAAAATGTCCATTTGAGGCCATCATGATCATCAACTTGCCCAGCAATCTTGAGAAGGAAACAGTTCATCGATATAACAAGAACTCTTTCAAGCTGCATCGTTTGCCCATCCCACGTAGAGGTGAAGTGCTTGGTCTTGTTGGCACCAACGGAATCGGCAAGTCCACTGCCCTCAAGGTGCTTGCTGGCAAGCTCAAGCCCAACTTGGGTCACTTTGATTCTGTGCCTGACTGGGCTGATGTGCTCACTCACTTTCGTGGTAGTGAACTGCAGAACTACTTCACAAAAATTCTCGAAGATGACCTGAAGGCTGTTGTAAAACTGCAGTATGTGGATCAGATCCCACGAGCTGTCAGAGGATCAGTAAGGGAACTGCTGGCTCGCAAGCATGAACGGCAGAACCTGAAAATGATCTGTGATGTACTAGATCTTAACAGCGTGCAAGACCGTAACGTAGAGGATCTCTCAGGAGGAGAGTTGCAGCGTTTCGCCATCGCTATGGTGTGCATCCAGAACGCAGATATCTACATGTATGACGAGCCCTCGTCGTACCTGGACGTGAAACAGCGTCTCAACTCGTCTCGGGCCATAAGGTCGATGGTGGCTGCAGACCGCTACGTCGTAGTGGTAGAGCATGACTTGGCCGTGCTCGACTACTTGTCTGACTTTATTTGTGTTCTCTATGGCGTGCCTGGCGCGTACGGCGTGGTGACGGCTCCTTTCTCCATTAGAGAAGGCATTAATGTCTTCCTGGACGGCTTTGTACCTACGGAGAACTTGCGCTTCCGTGAAGAGTCTCTCACTTTCAAAGTATCTGATCAGATGAGCGAGGAAGAAATCAAAAGACTCAGTCGTTCTCACTATCCTAAAATGAGCAAAACCAGAGGCGAGTTCCACCTCGATGTTGCTGGTGGAAATTTCACGGACTCTGAGATCATGGTTCTCCTAGGAGAGAATGGCACTGGCAAGACTACCTTCATCAGGATGCTGGCTGGGCAGATGGAGCCAGATGAGGGCAAGACTCATCTCCCCAACTTGCTCATCTCGTACAAGCCGCAAAAGATCAGCCCTAAAAGTACATCGACCGTTCGGCAGCTGCTGCACGATAAGATCAGAGACATGTACGTGCATCCTCAGTTCGTCACTGACGTCATGAAACCCATGAAGATCGAAGAACTCTTTGACCAGGAAGTGCAGCATTTGTCCGGAGGTGAGCTGCAGCGAGTTGCCATCACTCTTTGCCTCGGCAAGCCAGCTGAAGTTTACCTCATTGATGAGCCGTCAGCTTACCTGGACTCTGAGCAGCGTCTTGCTGCCGCCCGCGTCATTAAGAGGTTCATTATGCACGCCAAGAAGACTGCGTTTGTTGTAGAGCACGATTTCATCATGACCACGTACCTGGCTGACCGCGTCATTGTGTTCGAGGGAGAACCTTCCATCAAAACCATCGCCAATGCTCCTCAGACTCAAGTGTCGGGAATGAACAAGTTTTTGGCTATGTTGGGTATAACATTCCGACGCGACCCCACGAACTTCCGTCCTCGTATCAACAAAGAGGACAGCCAGAAGGATTCTGAGCAGAAAAGCTCAGGCCAATACTTCTTCCTCGAGTCTGAAAACAAGAGCGCCCCCAAAAAGAATGTGGGTGCTCCCGCTGGCGCTAGCGAAAAGTAAGCGTCTACCGCTCAGGAGAGGAACTGTTGGTCTGAGGTCGGACGTTTATCAGTGACGCGCATGAGTTCCGTGCTGACGCGGTGTCCTCAAAACTTTTTCCACAGAAAACTGTTGGTGTAGACTCTTCTAAGTGTCATTTATGTATTCATCAGTTTAAATAGGTTGTGCAAGCCAATTAATGACACTTCTTTTTATTTATTTTTCTTCAAATCTTCAAGTGCATGGGTAATGGTGGTTTCATGTTGGTTTCAGTCGTTATTTTACTGATGTGAGCGTCGCAATGTGCAACTGATAAACTCCGAACACGATTATCAAGTTTTATTTCTCCACAGGAAGTTGCACGATCTAAAACATTATTTACTACAAGCAAATTTATTTTCATCATGGTTTAGCGAAATGTGTCTTCTACTAATGTACAGCGCTGTGAGATAGATTCCATGTCTAATAACAGCTCCTGCCNATAAGAGACAGCAGCTCCTGCCGGCGCTGTGCACATGTCTAATAACAGCTCCTGCCGGCGCTGTGCACATGTCTAATAACAGCTCCTGCCGGCGCTGTGCACATGTCTAATAACAGCTCCTGCCGGCGCACTTCTTGTCTTCCATTCATCGAGTTTCCATTAGATAATTGTTTAGCTTGCCGAAGCGTTCCCAAAGGATTAAATTCTTGTTAATATTAGACTTTGATAAAGCCAATTTGGAAGAGGCTTTCTCATTGGAACGTTGATAAAATCGTTAGTTACTTGGCAAACAAATCTTGGATTCAATCATTTTTCATTTCTCAATTCCTCGGAAAATGTACATTTTATATATAAAAAAGACATTTCGTCAGCTTTCGCGCTAAATTATACATGGATTTCTTCAGGTTTATCTGGTATATTATACTAATCGGTGTTGAGAAATAGAGCGAGCTGGCCTGTCACTAGACTTCTTCAACAAATTTCAAGCCATTCAAGAATTTAGCGAAGTACTGCTTCACTATGTTGCAGTGATGTAAAAAAAATGATGAAATTTCAAAGTATAATTCACTCGGGAAATATTATGCTCTTTATGACTGTGGAGCATGAATATGGTTGTCACAAAGAAGATATAACAAGCATTCGTGTTACGACAATTATTTACAAAATTAATTTCTGATAAATGAGACTGAAATTTTCAAGCCATCGAAAATGGCAATCTAATGTCCACTATTCCCAAGCGGAGGACTAAATCTCCAAGTAGTGCTGTCATGAGAAGAATGCGCACAGGAAAATACAAAAAATTAAATGCATTACCAGAAGCAGTAACTATTCCCCGTTCTTTGACTGCACTGGGAATTTGACGGAAGCATCAAAGGTAACTAATGATTTTGTCATGTTTATAATATTCGGCGGGAAGCAGACTGTGAACAAAGCAAAGGCTGGATCATTATTGCAAGCTTCAAGCTCGTGTATATAAACCGTAACCAGCAGGGGAATGGCCCAGTGGTTAAAGTTCAGAGTCCCAAGATTGGAGCAGAGAGGCGCGGGTTCGATCCCAGCTCTGTGCGCCAGTTACTGGTCAGAATCGGCAAGGAGGCCGGGCGGTCAAGCACAGCAGAATTGTAGCAATGAGTACACGTGTGTTCGAGACCACATCAAGCTGTGAATGTTCTGTGATGTTAAGAATCGGCGACAGGCCTACGGCCTAATAAACGCTGAAACCGCTATTATTATTATAACATCGCTGCAGCTCACGTCATGTAAATGTTATTCGGAGCCTCGGAGGTTGAAATATTGGGCTTCATGGAATACAACAAAGAGGAGTGAATTTTAGAATGAACGTTCTAGAACTCCTGACGTTGAAGACACAATCAAATGGAGCCTGCGCCGTAAGAATGAACAGTGTTTGGTATCTCATATTTTTTCCGTACTTTTGTTGCTTACGTGCAAGTTGTGGCAGCGTAGGGCTCATAGGTCGGATTCTAAGATGTCACCAAAATTGATTCATGCTCGAAAGGCCAAAAATACCCGAAATAAAATTACCACAAATTTTTCGAATGAGTAACGATATACCGTAACTAACATTTATCAGGAGATATAATGCCACATTGAGCATTGGTGAAACATTCATGAAAAAACAATTGCAAGCAAAGGGATGCTTACGATATCCGTGGGAGAGAAAGCTCTTTGAAAACTCATGATATATCATTTCGAAAAGTTTAATCTTTGAAGTGTTAGGGCAACAAAGCGAAGTTTCCAAATGATATCATAATGGAGAGTGAAGAAGCGCAAGGGAATAGAAAACCTGACCGTGCGAGATCCAAGATAACAGTGCAGGGATCGGAGCTTTGGAATGGACGGAATATTTTAAAAAGGTCCTCACATATTCGTTCAGTCAAGTCAGTTACTCGGTGTACAATAACGGTGGATAAATCGTGTCAGGTAATGTTTACTAAAGCAGAGACATTGACATGAAAGAGAGCACATTCCTGTTACAATGAGCGCTCTTTACTTGTAGAACTTTAGCAATTATGACAATCGCTCCTCGATAAAATGTTGGCAAATGGAGAAATTTGAAATGTCCAATTCCAAAGCTCGAGACCTTCCCACTCACAACCCTCAATAGTTGAGACATATTCTAACCTAGAAACATTAGAATGCCATCGAATCTACTAAACAATATCAGCGCATCAATATATGCCGCGAGCATTTATTTTTCCGCAGTGTAAATATACAGGGTTATTCTAAATGATCATGCACCCAGTTTGATAAATTTATATATCATGAAGCATAAATTCAAAGGAATATTTTATACGCCAACGCAAAGAGAAAGATTCAATTTTTAACATTTTAAAAATGTTTAACATGTCCCCCCTTGTGCTGCAGAGCAAACTTCTAAACGGTAGCCAAACTCGTCCCACACGAGAAAGCATATCTTCTGTTACTGAGTGCATCGTAGCAGTGATACGGTTCTTCAGAGCAACCAGAGTTGCTGGTAGAGGCGGAACGTAAACAGAGTTGCTGGTAGAGGCGGTACGTAAACAGAGTTGCTGGTAGAGGCGGAACGTAAACAGAGTTGCTGGTAGAGGCGGGACTTAAACAGAGTTGCTGGTAGAGGCGGGACGTAAACAGCTTCCTTGACGTATTCCCATAAGAAATAGTCACGCGTGATCAGGTGATCTCGGTGGCCAGAAGTGTAGGGCCAGATCTTTATTTTCTATGCGTCCTACCCAACGCTCAGGAAGTGACTGATTGTCACTTACTGAGGGGACATATTTAACATTTATAAACTTGTAAAATAAAACTTTGAATCTTCATTTTTTTCATTGGCGTATAAATTATTCATTATGAATTTATGCTCGAGTTAATACCAATTTATTAAATTGTGTCTATCATTTAGAATAACCCTGTTTGTTTGTAAACCAGGCAAATGTAAATTGTACGTAGAATTCTTGACCGACAAAAAGGAGGTAAGCTGAAGATCATTTTTATTCCAACTGAACCACAAGTAAAGTTCACACGGGATATGAGCACAACGATAACACAACAGTGACCATAAAATAGAGAACAATACGTATGTATGTAACCTTGAAAATGCCCACATGTTAAGTTAATGCAAAGATAACGCATATAAAAGCTGAAACAGCTCTTGTAAAATACATTGTGTAGTACAAATGATAGCACCGCATCAAGCATAAATACGCTGTCCAAACTGCGGACCGACAATCTGAACGAATGGCACATCGAGCATCTGTGAAACACAATCGCTTCTCAAATCATGGTATCCGGAAATTCACATTTGGTCCCAATACTCGGTCACAACGTAATCTGATAAATTAATTACTTTAAAAATTATGGGTGAATTTAAGCTGCTAAATTCATGTCATGACAAATGCTACTAGTTACACGTAAGTTGTATGGTTTCTAATACATAACATGGGACTGGATTGCACGTCATTTTTTCGCGGTGAAAATAATCGCTGAATTAAAGTTTGTTTTGAGAGCAAATACCCGCGATCATAAAAACAATTCATGTATGATTAATTTTATAAATCATTAATACAAAAATATTACAGTAATACACTCTCTACATTACATGTTTCCTAATTAGAAGGTTAATGCAATGTTAACGGTATGAACAAGATACTCTCACCGCCGTTGTTAATGAAGAACAACAGCACAACAACTGCCATCTTAAATAGAATAAAAGACACTTCATCACAGCACATGCCGCTCCACTAGTTCAGTTTGTCGACTAACAATATTAGTCACACAAACATTTCTGCACATTAAAATTCATCTATTTTATCAAAATTACCATTTTTATATCATTGACATTTAGAAAGCAGTGAATTAGCGGTGATAGATCAAACTTTTTGAAGCTCTAACGAATGAATTTCATTCTGACAAACTAATTGTCTTGACAATTAAGTAAATTTGATTTATATCACCGAGATTAGTTATTCAATTCGTACATTTGGGCACAAAAGTGAATGGAGCATCTGAACACAAATAAGACAAAATTTTATATCCCGTGTGGACGCGCGGTAATTTAAACTACGTAAGCTAGGTAGTCGTTGGCAATAATGTGTGGCACTATCCCAATATTGGTAAAAAAGTCACCAAGCAGCACAAAACGATAAATGTTTAAGGATATAAGATAATCGACGAAAAAACCGCCACAGCCCAAAATCAGAGACAGAACACAATCCGCGAACGTTAACAATAAATGGCAACGATGCACAAGACATAATACTTCATCACACTTAATGTGAATCCTGGCAAGTATTACAAAACACATGGCTCCCACAGACACCTAGAAGTGCGTACAGAAAATGGACAAGTTAACATGGTGGGATATTCAACGCTAGTATCCCGAGAATCAGGTTAACTGCCTCCTATGGTAATTCAAAATTTTTTGTAGTCAATGGAGAGATAGATGTTTCAATCTAGCCATACTTATGCATGGAGGCACCTTTGTCGAAAGGATAAAATGTGTATCGTGACACGTTAAATGGGGTAAAAAAATGAAAGGAAGCTAAGGGTCGCTGCTAGAAGTGTCGATGCAGAACATCGCTGGCGCCTTCAACCCGACAAAGGGCATCGCAGTCACGCAACGCTTCGTTAGGAAACAGCAGAACCGGCACATTTTCGGCGCAGCAAAACCAACAAACTCGTCAAGAATTTGGCACAAAAATCATCTTTAAACAAGCTTGAGAAAGAAGTAGATTGAAGCTGAAGAAAATTGCGTTAGGAAAAAAACTTCAAATAGTGCAGAAGATATAAAATTAATGTAATTTCAAATCTTTAAAACAATGACGGCAACTAAGATAGGTCAAGGACAAGTAAGAAAATAATGCAAAATAAAGATGTATGCAGTAAAATAAAGGAATACCGTAACAAACTAAAATATAATGGAAATGGGAAGGAATGCAAGAAAGGAGCAAAGGAATAGCAAATAAAAAGGAACTTAACTCAAGAAAATAAGAAAATTATCCAAGAACTGCAATGATAATGAGGCCATACAAAGCACGCCTTACCATTTCACCTTGCTCTGTGCATTTGTTTCAATTTCGTGCTGTCTTAAGCGTACACTTGAATGGGTAACAAAAGCAGGGTAGGCACTCTATTAAATACAGAAAAAAATTAAATTGTATTCGTGAGATGGCGCTTCCAGGAGGCGACTTCACGTCCTAGAAGGCATTCATGATTCTGGCGTGAAAACTCAAACACTTGAAATCTAACAAAATGGGGTAGAAGTTCGTTATTTGAAGATCTACCTTCAACAAAGAAGCTTTAAGAAAAACACAACCGCAAGACAAAGAGAAGTAACAGTCTCCACCACCTATAAATTTTCCAAAATATTTCATCCTATTTACCAAATATATTTATTCAATTTATTGTTACATCTGAGCAAAATAATGAACTGCATTCATAGGAACTCGGATGAAAATATTCTTCATGAGTCATTCGGTAGGATTTTAGTGAGCGAGTCTGGAATAAACACGAGAGTTGGACAACAGAGGCAAGAGTCTAGGGCGGAAACCGAGGAGTGTTAGTTTCATGTGGGTTCAGTTGGAGTTCTGGGCCTATACATTCAAAAAAAGTTAAGAGATCGTAAGTTCATCAGCCAATCATTGACGGCCTTTCAAGCAAAATCCACCAATCATAGACAAGAAAATAGAGCGTATGTACTTACGTTCACTTAGCGAGTTTTGAAAGTATGGCCCCTGGGTTGCTGTCTTGAGATAAGGGTTCAAAGGAAGAGATAATATTTACACTCAACAAGATTACGACATGGAAATATCTGTTTGGTTCTTATGACATAAGGGAAGAACACAACTATTATACGATGAGTCTGCAGTGAGTAGATGCACAGAACAAGCATAGCATCAATGAGGCTATTCAAACAGAGCAGTCTTTGCATATAGACTAAAATTACGAAATCCACTCAAAGACAAACTTTTGACTGCAGCATTAACCAACAAATCCCAACAATGACGTACTATGTATCGAAGCAATTGTTCAATGTTACACTCATTAAAATAAATTTCAATAGCAAGAAAATGTGAGAAAAGTTGCACGTAAGTACACTAGGCACCCGCGTGTCCGTTGTTCTGCGCCGCGCTACCACGAAGCTGCGTAAACATTACGCTGAAATTGACGCCGATTTTCCACATAGAGTGAATATTTATAAGGAAGGGTGACGTATATATAATACCTCACCCTCATAACACTTCTCTTAGAAAACAAACTAAATCATGTCACTTGTAACCAACCGCCTTGAAATTCAGCCTCGTGAAAGTTTCAAAACGGCATCTTTGATAAAAGCGTTTCAATGACGCACTTACAAACGAATATCGCGAGGAAATTTGAGAGTGAATTGAATTGAACAAGAGGTAAATTAAATGATACAATTGTTAACACCGTCATGAGTGAATGTTAGGTTTGTCGACTAACAATAATATTCAGACGAACATTTCTGCACGTTTAAATTCATCTATTTTATGAAATTATCATTTTTAATACATCATTAACATATAGAAAGCAGCGAATTAGCGGTGATCGATGAGAAGTGAGGCACTGTCAAGGAGACCCAACAACGACACCAAATAAACAAGACACAACAGACCACGCGATAACGCGTTACTTGCAAGGCAAGAAAACCTTCTGCCGGAGCGGATCTGTAGAATGAATATCAGGAACGGCACTCTTTTTTTGCAACAGAGATGACCTGTTCTTGGTCTCCTATGCAAACATACTGCACAACAGAGCTCATATTTGCATTTTTTCAGGTTTTTAATAATTTAACCTTGGGTCTAATCAGGTTAACTAGCGTTACCTGGACATTCAGTACGAATAATGCTGCGATGGTTAATGTATTCGTAAATAAAAGGTTTACCTAAGAAATTAGACTTCTAGAATGAGTGATGAACTCAGACATAAGAAAATAATATCGAAGTTATTGGACTGTTATTGATCGAACTCCGGTTATGAAATTTGACGCGTGAGTTCGATTGATAAAAAGACAAGTGCTAATACAACGGATACTAACGGGAGTTATCTCTGACAGCAAGTATCACTGGTGAAGGCAATTGACAGCACTCTGACAGGAAGTCACAATTGCAGAGCGGTCGTGCCAGAACGATTCTGACAGAACGTGCCATTTACAGATATTGTCTTTTACAGCGCTTCAAAAAAGAAGTTTCAGTGGCAGAGACGTCTGCCAGCACACTGTCAGTATTACTTGCAGGGTAGTCTGCCAAAACACTGACAGGTAGTATCACTTGCATATATGTCTGACAGAGCCCTGTATCACTGGCAGAGATGTCAGACTGGGCCCTGTATTACTGGCAGAGATGTCTCTGACAGCGCCCTGTATCACTGGCAGAAATGTCTCTGGCAGAGCCCGGAATCACTGGCAGAGACGTCTCTGGCAGCGTCCAGTTCATATGCCGTTGTTGATGACGTGGAAGGCGAGACCGAGACCCCAGCTGAGCTCGTAGCCGTCGATCTTCTTGTAGAGCTGAGGGAACAAGAGCGAACGTGAGGGAACAAGAGCGAACGTGAGGCTGCGGGAACAAGAGCGAACATGAGGGAACAAGAGCGAACGTGAGGGAACAAGAGTGAACGTGAGGGAACAAGAGTGAACGTGAGGGAACAAGAGCGAACGTGAGGCTGCGGGAACAAGAGTGAACGTGAGGGAACAAAAGTGAACGTGAGGGAACAAAAGTGAACGTGAGGGAACAAGAGTGAACGTGAGGGAACAAGAACGAACGTGAGGCTGCGGGAACAAGAGTGGACGTGTGGCTGCGGGACCAGTCTAAAGTTGCGTCTATTTTTAAGGAAGAAGCGATAAACCCAGTAACTTTCTTCTGAAGTAACTTTTGTCCATTCAAGTTATCAGGAATAAACGTTTATCCCGTTAACGTTTTCAGGAAAAGACTTTAAACTTATTTACGTTTGGAGGGTGAAGCTTCTAACCCATTCATATAATTAGAGAGAAACTATATACTCATTAACATTAATAGGAAGAGTCAGGAAGAAACTCATTTTACTGAGTAACTTTAATGGATGAGTCACTTTATCGGACGACAAACTTCACTGGGTGACTCACTTTGATAAGTGACTCACTTTGATAAGTGACCCACTGTGATAAGTGACTCACTATAATAAGTGACTCACTTTAACAGGAGACTCCGGCTTGAGGCGGTATCCGTTGTGCAGGAAGGCTGCGATGAACGTCAGGTCGAGGCAGGCGAACGGCTGCTCAGCGTTCGGGATATCGCAAGCTGCAAGTCAGTCAGTCATTAGTGACTATTGGCACGAGTGACTGGACCAGTCATTAGCACGAGTGACTGGACCAGTCATTAGCACGTGTGACTGGACCAGTCATTAGCGCGAGTGACTAGGCCAATCATTAGCATGAGTGCCGAACCAATCTTTACAAGCTATCGAGCCTCCGTCGCCTCAACTTCCATATCCCATAATATTCAACTTGCCAATAGTAATCAAGCACAAGAAGCAGCCAATATTCCTAAGATATACAATGACAAAAACAACTCAAACGCTTACAAAAGATCAATATAACAGCGCGTACATCAACAAACATACAAATTACCACCAGTTCATCATTGTCTATAAATTTGAGAGAAATCAACAAATATTGCATAAGATTGAACTCGTAAGTGCCAGCAGACAATGCGTAACATATAATTCTGAGTGTAGGCAGCACAAACTTTGTCGGGCAGCCTGAGCGAACTCGTTGACTGTGACGACGCCGCCATGCAGCGGATCTGCAATACATAAATTATCATAATTATTCATTTATATTTATTATAAAACGCCTGCATTTCAAGTATTTGAATAAGAAATTTTTTAAAACTAAACACCAATTATCAGTGTGAATTCTCTAACGATTGTAAAATAGTACGCAAATGTCAATCGCAGGTAATTAAAAAGCGTTATGTAACGAAGTTAAAGTAATCACGATTGATATCTGTGATGTGCCTCTAATCATTGAACGAATATTAATATGTCTTAGAAGGTAGCTTTAACATATCAAAAATGCTAATATATTTCTTACCAATAAGGCCTCTCTCCGTGGCGCGGTCGAAGAAATAACTGAACGCAATAACTTCTCTCTCGCGCAGCTCATCAGGCACGTTAGTCACCTAAAAAAAACAAATGTTAATCATTATTAAATTAATCCCTTGTCTTGCTCACTTCTACCGTCACCAATGAACGAAGATATATATTAGCAACATTCAGCATAATATCATAACTTTTATTGTTAATATGAAAGTCATAAAAACTACTATAAAAAGCGTAAACGATCGTGTCGTAACTCCCTGTCAGTCTCATCTGTACTGCATGTACTGTTTGCTAACAATTACTATTAGTGTATTCCAAGTGCACATTTTATTTTGGCTCTTAATGGGTCCACAAGAGTGAACCTTCACCTTCACATTAATACTTTGTTGAGGTTAATATGACTACGAATAAATTAACAAATTGCAGGGGTTACAGCACCTGCAGCCTGGTGTTACAGCACCTGCAGCCCGGTGTTACAGCACCTGCANTGACGTGGTAGTGTGGTGCATAAGACTGACGTGACGTGGTAGTGTGGTGCATAAGACTGACGTGACGTGGTAGTGTGGTGCATAAGACTGACGTGACGTGGTAGTGTGGTGCATAAGACTGACGTGACGTGGTAGTGTGGTGCATAAGACTGACGTGACGTGGTAGTGTGGTGCATAAGACTGACGTGACGTGGTAGTGTGGTGCATAAGACTGACGTGACGTGGTAGTGTGGTGCATAAGACTGACGTGACGTGGTAGTGTGGTGCATAAGACTGACGTGACGTGGTAGTGTGGTGCATAAGACTGACGTGACGTGGTAGTGTGGTGCATAAGACTGACGTGACGTGGTAGTGTGGTGCATAAGACTGACGTGACGTGGTAGTGTGGTGCATAAGACTGACGTGACGTGGTAGTGTGGTGCATAAGACTGACGTGACGTGGTAGTGTGGTGCATAAGACTGACGTGACGTGGTAGTGTGGTGCATAAGACTGACGTGACGTGGTAGTGTGGTGCATAAGACTGACGTGACGTGGTAGTGTGGTGCATAAGACTGACGTGACGTGGTAGTGTGGTGCATAAGACTGACGTGACGTGGTAGTGTGGTGCATAAGACTGACGTGACGTGGTAGTGTGGTGCATAAGACTGACGTGACGTGGTAGTGTGGTGCATAAGACTGACGTGACGTGGTAGTGTGGTGCATAAGACTGACGTGACGTGGTAGTGTGGTGCATAAGACTGACGTGACGTGGTAGTGTGGTGCATAAGACTGACGTGACGTGGTAGTGTGGTGCATAAGACTGACGTGACGTGGTAGTGTGGTGCATAAGACTGACGTGACGTGGTAGTGTGGTGCATAAGACTGACGTGACGTGGTAGTGTGGTGCATAAGACTGACGTGACGTGGTAGTGTGGTGCATAAGACTGACGTGACGTGGTAGTGTGGTGCATAAGACTGACGTGACGTGGTAGTGTGGTGCATAAGACTGACGTGACGTGGTAGTGTGGTGCATAAGACTGACGTGACGTGGTAGTGTGGTGCATAAGACTGACGTGACGTGGTAGTGTGGTGCATAAGACTGACGTGACGTGGTAGTGTGGTGCATAAGACTGACGTGACGTGGTAGTGTGGTGCATAAGACTGACGTGACGTGGTAGTGTGGTGCATAAGACTGACGTGACGTGGTAGGTGTGGCCGCCGTAGTCCCACGTCGTCGTGACCGTAGGGTTGATGCAGGGGGAGCGGATGAGCTCGTCGCTCCCCGGCACGTAGTTGGGGAGGTCGTGGAGGAGCACGTCCTTCCTCGCCGCCATCAGGCCGAGCCCCAGGTAGCTGGGGGGAAGGTGGGGGTTAAAAGGAGGGCAAGTTTTAAGTAGCTGGAAGAGGGGCGAGAATGGGGGGATAAAAGGGGGAATAAGTCCCAATTAGCTAGGAAAGGAGGGAGAATGGGGGATAAAAGTAGGGAATAAGTCCCAATTAGCTAGGGGAGGAGGGAGAATAGGGGGTAAAAGTAGGGAATAAGTCCCAATTAGCTGGGGGAGGAGGGAGAATGGGGGGTAAAAGGAGGGAATAAGTCCCAATTAGCTGGGGGAGGAGGGAGAATGGGGGGTAAAAGGAGGGAATAAGTCCCAATTAGCTGGGGGACTGTCTCTTATACACATCTAGATGTGTATAAGAGACAGNGTTTGTGTAAGGGTCGAAAGGGGCAATCATCGACATGTGGCACAGTGGCATCATCCTGAAAAGAGCGGAAACCGCTTCGCGTGACTGTAGCCCTGGAATTAGGAGGAACAAGACCCAGACACGCGCGGCAATAATAGAGCAGGTCTAGAGTCATGCCTGGATCACCTGTGGGTGAAGAGGTCTAGAGTCACCTGTGGGTGAAGAGGTCTAGAGTCACGCCTGAGTCACCTGTGGGTGAAGAGGTCTAGAGTCACCTGTGGGTGAAGAGGTCTAGAGTCACGCCTGAGTCACCTGTGGGTGAAGAGGTCTAGAGTCATGCCTGAGTCACCTGCGGGTGAAGAGGTCTAGAGTCATGCCTGAGTCACCTGTGGGTGAAGAGGTCTAGATTCCTGCCAGAGTCACCTGTGGGTGCAGAGGTCTAGAGTCATGCTCGAGTCACCTGTGGGTGAAGAGATCTAGAGTCACGTCTGAGTCACCTGTGGGTGAAGAGGTCTAGATTCCTGCCAGTCACCTGTGGGTGAAGAGGTCTAGAGTCACCTGTGGGTGAAGAGGTCTAGATTCCTGCCAGTCACCTGTGGGTGAAGAGGTCTAGAGTCACCTGTGGGTGAAGAGGTCTAGAGTCCTGCCAGAGTCACCTGTGGGTGCAGAGGTCTAGAGTCACCTGTGGGTGGAGAGGTCTATTCCTGCCAGAGTCACCTGTGGGTGCAGAGGTCTAGAGTCATGCTCGAGTCACCTGTGGGTGAAGAGATCTAGAGTCACCTGTGGGTGAAGAGGTCTAGAGTCACCTGTGGGTGAAGATGTCTATTCCTGCCAGAGTCACCTGTGGGTGCAGAGGTCTAGTCATGCTTGAGTCACCTGTGGCTGAAGAGATCTAGAGTCACCTGTGGGTGAAGAGGTCTATAGTCACCTGTGGGTGAAGAGGTCTTTGGTCACCTGTGGGTGAAGAGGTCGAGGTTCTGGTTCATGAGAGATATGGAGGAGAGTTGGTGAGGCTCGGCCCTGGTGATGGTGAGCTGGTCTGCAGGCACGAAGGTGATCTGCGTAGACCCGCCGCCCAGGTCTAGCGCCACGAGCGTCTCCCGCGGTGCGCTGCCTACACGGTCTGCACGCCAGCGTTCGGGTTATAATATAGACTTAGCGTATGGTGCTTAGTCTATGGCTTAGGGTATAGTGCTTAGTCTATGGCTTAGGGTATAGTGCTTAGTATATAGGCTTAGTGTAGAGTGCTTAGTCTATAGGCTTAGTGTATAGTGCTTAGTATTTAGGCTTAGTGTATAGTGCTTAGTCTATAGGCTTAGCGTATGGTGCTTAGTCTATGGCTTAGGGTATAGTGCTTAGTCTATAGGCTTAGTGTATAGTGCTTAGTATATAGGCTTAGTGTATAGTGCTTAGTATATAGGCTTAGCGTATAGTGCTTAGTATATAGGCTTAGTGTATAGTGCTTAGTNCATGTTACAGAGGGCAACACGCTCACTGCGGCATGTTACAGAGGGCAACACGCTCACTGCGGCATGTTACAGAGGGCAACACGCTCACTGCGGCATGTTACAGAGGGCAACACGCTCACTGCGGCATGTTACAGAGGGCAACACGCTCACTGCGGCATGTTACAGAGGGCAACACGCTCACTGCGGCATGTTACAGAGGGCAACACGCTCACTGCGGCATGTTACAGAGGGCAACACGCTCACTGCGGCATGTTACAGAGGGCAACACGCTCACTGCGGCATGTTACAGAGGGCAACACGCTCACTGCGGCATGTTACAGAGGGCAACACGCTCACTGCGGCATGTTACAGAGGGCAACACGCTCACTGCGGCATGTTACAGAGGGCAACACGCTCACTGCGGCATGTTACAGAGGGCAACACGCTCACTGCGGCATGTTACAGAGGGCAACACGCTCACTGCGGCATGTTACAGAGGGCAACACGCTCACTGCGGCATGTTACAGAGGGCAACACGCTCACTGCGGCATGTTACAGAGGGCAACACGCTCACTGCGGCATGTTACAGAGGGCAACACGCTCACTGCGGCATGTTACAGAGGGCAACACGCTCACTGCGGCATGTTACAGAGGGCAACACGCTCACTGTGGCATGTTACAGAGGGCAACACGCTCACTGTGGCATGTTACAGTGGGCAACACAGATATCTACAGAGGGCATGTTACAGATACCCAGCAGATAATTGACAGCAGATAATTGATAATTCGACATCTCACCCAGCAGATAATTGACAGTGAACCAAGAAAAGATGCCCTCGTCCCTGCCATCCATGATCCCAACTGAGTTCTCTGTCGTCAGGAACTCTGAGGACTGCAGCAGCTTGTTCACCTGTTGAAATAATATCTGGATGAGCATTCTCGAGACTTCCGAGTTAAATAATATATTAAAATAATAATGAAACGGCTAAGACTTTTGAGTTATTCTTTGCGTGACAGAAGGCAGCTCATCTCGAGTATTACATAGGATATAAAGATGACATTTAATGATGAACTCCGTCTTCAAAGAAGCCATAAAAAAGGTGACGACACCAAGAATAAGGGAAGAAGTTCCAATGATGGGGGTGACTAGCCAAGCATGCACGAAGGCTCTAACAATTGTCTGACAAGAGAACCTGAGGAACAGCTTGATGAGATGTTCAACCAGAATATACAGATTGGAGCTTTACAGCAATCACTCCTTGGCAACGCTAAATAAGCAGTAATACAAATCACTTGATGGCAACCCTAAATAAGCAGTACGGTAATACAAATCAGTTGTTGGCAACCCTAAATAAGCAGTAGGTAATACAAATCAGTTGTTGGCAACCCTAAATATGCAGTAATACAAATCACTTGATGGCAACCCTAAATAAGCAGTACGGTAATACAAATCAGTTGTTGGCAACCCTAAATAAGCAGTAATAGTACAAATCACTTGTTGGTAACGCTTAATAAGCATTAATACAAATCACTTGTTGGCAACCCTAATTAAGCAGTAATACAAATGACTTGTTGGCAACCTCGTGCAGCAGGGCCTGAGCCTGGTGGTCGGGCAGGAGGCGCAGGCCGGCAGTCGCCTTGAGCACGAGCGGCGTGTGGGGCCGCGCCAGCGCCGGCACCCGCGAGTACGCGAGCTCCAGCAGCGGCACCAGCGACGCTGCGCCCTGTAATACCAAGGGCCGTACTGAGCACGTTAGTACATTGAGCACGTTAGTACATTGAGCACGTTAGTACATTGAGCACGTTAGTACATTGAGCACGTTAGTACATTGAGCACGTTAGTACATTGAGCACGTCAGTACATTGAACACGTCAGTACATTGAGCACGTCAGTACATTTGAACACGTCAGTACATTGAACACGTCAGTACATTGAGCACGTCAGTACATTGAGCACGTTAGTACATTGAGCACGTTAGTACATTGAGCACGTTAGTACATTGAGCACGTTAGTACAGTAAGTGAATAATGAATTCGCCGCCCTTTTACCAATAGAAAAACTATTATCACAAAAATTACTTCAATCATACGACGGCCGAAGCTGCAGATTTTTGTATATTTATTCATACATAGCAACTGTAGTAAAACAAATGAAATCAAAGATGAAATAGTAAGCTAAGATCGCATATTCAGACTGATGACCCAAGTTTATATTGTAAAACAAAGACAATAATATATCTTGTTTTAGAAACAATACGAGGTCAAAAGAAACACTGAGATCTCGTTCTAAATAAATACAATGTAAGAATAAACGCTGAGTTGCAGACCTTGACGGGGTCGTCAGCATAGCTGGAGAGACCAGGCTTCACTTCATGCCACAACTGATCTTCCAGCTTCAGAGAATTGTCTGTTTAGAGGACAAGAAATTAAAACGTTTCAATACCCCCCTCATGTTTCCTTACTCAGAATATAACCAGTTGAGCTTAAACATAAAATTGCGGCCTGCCATGTAGTAGAATTGTTCTGTAAACAAATCATGGTAATCTAATGTAAAGCGTGTGGAACTCTTGCTTGTGAATATACACAAATTTTGTGTCAATTACATTGCAGATAATGCTTGAAGACTAATGTATGGACGGATGCACATAATGTATATAATAATACTTAGCATCCACCTATATACGTAACTGTTATGTTCACAATATAAACATCAAAATGTATATGAGTTTTGTAACCATGCAAAAGGTATGGAAGAATACAAGATTTCAGCACACATTAACAGATACTTAATAAAAAAAGTATTTAGCAAACTGTGGTGGGAGCTTTGCTCCTGTGCTTCTTATGATTAGAAAAGTTTCAAGCAGACAAGAGGTTTTTTCAGGTTGATTATTGAACTTTGAAAATTGTTTTTTTTTTAATAATTATAAAAATAAAGATCTAAGTTCAAAACAAATCATAGCACAAATCAACAGAGCAGCTGGAGCTTCTACCTATCACTCTGAATTAAAAAAAAAATTTTTCATCAAATATCTTCATTCTTCAGAGAATAAAGACAATATTTCATCTCATCATTATAAGTCATCAACTAGCTCTCCCTATCAGACACGACCACCACAAATCCATTAGATGCAATGGGCCTCAAAGAAATAAAGAAATGACATGATTAAGAAGGAAGGAAAAACCTTAACCTGCTATGGAACGGAAGAAAGTGAAGGCCAGCACCCTGGAGCCAGTGGAGCCAGCATCGATGATGACAGCATGAACCTCCTCCTGGACGCCCAGCATGACAGAGAGGCGGTCCAGCACGCCTGCGCCGTGACTCGAGCTTTTGAACGGCCACACGTTGTTCAGACTCACTGAAACAAGCCATACAACTAATGCCAGTCAAAACACAAGTGTTATTAATAATACTTTAAAGACATGAAACCATCTACTTCAGTGCCTCCAACTGTTCTTTTTCAACTTAACTAAATATACCACATTAAGAAATGCACATGCATTTCATTATTTTATTTTTTCAAGTTGAGACAACCCTAGAAACATCCTCCCAATCAGAGTTGAAAATGGAAAAATTTTCTGCCTTCACTTTAAATCTGGAACAATATTGAGACTAATGAGACATACCATACAACTTAAACCTTCTGCCACCTATCATTGTGCTAGTGACCATGCTTAGCAGTAACAGATGCCTCAGGGGCTACTAGAAAGTCACATCCACTAGAGTAAAACCTGTTTTTCTTGTAACTTCCAGCCGTCAGTAGCTGGTCAATGTGATTTATCAATACCTGAACTGGGTACTTCCTTCTCCAAGTACAAGGTGGCTGTAGCATGCCGCTAATAGTCTAAGCAAACAGCTGCCTATTGTCCGCACGTGGCAGATGCCATCCACCTGTCAAAAGCCTTCAACCATGTTGACCACTAGCTCCTACTATCCATGATTGCTGCATCTACGTACCCTATATCACACCTTGTATGATGACACTATTCCTATCTCAGAGGTAGGCTAGCATCCTGCCTCTACCTTTGCACCCGGTTTTCCTCTCAGGTGTATACAACCTAGAGTTCCCAAAGGTCCACCATCTCCAAATCCCTCTCAATCCACTTCATCTCTGACTGCCCGGTTTTTCCTACAAGATCACTTTCTATGCAGATGACCTCTACTTTTGTCTCAGCCCCAAGACTCGACATCACGAAAGCAAACCTAGCAGTGCACCTGTCTGGCATCTCTGCCTGGTCCACCGCCAAAAGACTGGCAAACTTGTTGTCCTCATCAGCAACAATTGCAATTTGCTTAACAAGATACCAAAATCCTGGGAATCACCTGAGATGCCCACTTCATTTCACTCTCCACTCGTCAAGACAATTGCCCCTAAAGCCTATAGCACTCTACATCTATGCATCCTGAAGGCCCTAGCCAGCCCTAGCTGGGCATTTCTCAAGGAATTTTGGGTATTTCTCTTCACTGTCACTGATAAATTCATCACCCAACTAACTTGAAAACTATGTAGCCACAATTTGGCATCCTTTTGCTTTACACTCAGCCATTGTGAGCCTATAAGTCCTGCAGAGCTCTGCCTTGATGCTTGCCAATGGTGCTTCAAAATGACTGCCATTGACCATCTGTACACTGAGACAGAAGGGTTATCTCCTTCCACATGACAAAGACCACTGAAAACAACAGGGTCTTAGCTGCCCTACCTTCCTCAATTGCTCCCAAGGAAGCTATGCTTTCTCGTCCCTATTTCTCAGCACTGGCTCAGCTTTGGTTGGGCTCTTGCAGCCACCTTGCGTCCTACACAACATGCCCAAGTCTCGATGCATTGAACAACAATAACATTTTCTAGCTGTTTTCTGATTGGCTGTTAATGAAGACAGCCCAAATTAATACTGTTACCTATATATTGCTCCAAAATAGCATTAATTACGAAATGGGCTAATTAGAGCCAAAAATGGAAATCATACTACACCTACTCACCAACATAAGTTGTAAATAATTTTTAAGACTGGAGAAATGAAAGCCAACAGCCTTAAGGAATTTATAGAATATACAGGGTTGGAAAATATAAGGGTAACACCTGACATTTTTATGTATTTTATTGTATATTGTTGCTGCTAATTGATATTTTATCCTTGCACAGATATTTTTACTAAATTTTTGTGTCTATAACCTAACCACCAATAACCTATAAATGGCAAACCTCTCTGACTTTCAAAATGGCCAAATTGTCGAGTAAAGAAGCTAAATTGTTGACATAAATTTCCCAAATGCTCAACATTTCTAGTCATATGTTTCAAAAGTAATGAGTGCTTTTTAGAGCATCTAATTTGGCACCCTCAATCACCAGGCCTGTATATTATTGCTCATTTATTGTCAATTCTAGAGATATGCAAGTCAGAAGCTGACTCCCACTGCTTATGTCTTTAAAAGAGCTAGAGGGAGTTTCAACTGAAAAATGGGTTAAAATTCATTTGGAAATAATTTACAATTTATATGAATCAGCACTAAGGAGAATTGAGGGTGCAATTGCCACAAAACGTGAACCTACACCATACTTAAATATATTTTGTGGATTTCTCAGGCATTTCCCTTATTTTTTCAACCCCTGTATGTCATGAATTGGTGCCTAATAAAACATAAATATAACTACAATTCCATTGAAAACTTTGTGCAATATAATTATAACAAAAAGTGACACTAAAACTTTCCTATTTGGACTCAGATGGTTGGGCTCATTAAATAATTAATTAACTTGCAGGGGCAAAATAAAGCACAAACCTGCAACAATGACAAGAGTAAGGGAACCAGCAGCCACATAGAGTGCCATGACAAGCAGTCGGTATGGGGGTGGCACCATGGGAGATGACCTGTATTTTTTGCTTCCATTTGCAGCTCCCATGCTGGTCAGCTCCTGCAGCAGTAAGAAGCTTCAAAAGCAATCAAGAGAAAATCTTTAGTAATAACCATTCATTAGCAAGACCAGTATCAAATCTTATTCTGAATTAAAAATATAAATCAGTATCAAATCTTATTCTGTTTTAAAAATATAAAGGTAATCAGGATTCATGAATTTTAATCTATCTACCTATAGTAGGGAAATAAAAAAACACATATAGCTTTCCATTTATTTCAAACGAGTCACTGTTCTTTTAATGAGTCCTTCAAACAATCATCTCTCAATGGGCAGTCATGTTCAGTGTTGGCGACAGTCACTATGGGAACGCTTACTAGGAACCAGTATACTGTCTATATTAAACAACCTGTAGTATATAAAACCAGTCAACTATGAGCAAATTATTGCAGTAATATTAAAACTCACTTGACTTTTTCTTGGTCGGACACCTTCCATAACATAAAATAGAATGAGAGTGTTTAAATAGAAAATAATAAAATATTACAGGTTAATGATGGAAATACAATATTGTTCATATAAAATTGAAGAAGAAAATAAAATTTGTAATCAAAATACTGCCACAAAGGAAGGTAGTAGAAAGAACATAAGGCTCATAGTGGATGGACCTGATCAATTCTAATCCATAATCTAGTGAGCATCCAACAAAATCACATTAGGCTGTGGCCTGAAAAAAATTAAAGATATTAGTATATTTGTATTATATTCCAGATTGCAAAACTCTAAGGCTCTCTTTTCTAATAGTCTCAATTCTAGACTAATGGCTTCATAAATCAAAACAAGGATATGTAAGGTTATCATTCAGAATTTTACTCTTAAAAACAGTTCAATTTTTGTACATAACTACTATTGAGGCAAGAATGAGATGGCTATGGGCAATAGACAAATAATGTTAAAATGTGAAACTGTGGCTCTGACATGGAATATATGCACCTTTCAAGCTGAGGCTAGAGCTTTCCTAACATTTTCAGAACTGCAAAATTCCTGCTTGATGACTTAACTCTAATCCAACTGTCCAATTGTAACTCCAATCAAATTGTCCAATTGTAACTCCAATCAAATTGTCCTTAACTCCAATCCAATTTTCCTTAACTCCAAGTACAAAACCTGCAAGCTCAAGATGGTGCTGTTTTCCATGGCTTAATCCAGCATACATGAGGCTCTAAGCCCTAGCACTGGCGTACATGTTGGCGTTGAAGAGGGCTGCAGAATATAGGCTATATTGTACCATAGTGTATTGCCACACTTCTAGGCCATGCCTTTTAATATCACTTACTTTTCTCCTTTAGAATGAGTGGTTTACTTCAATTTTGTTATCAATAATGTATGTGTTTCTTCTGTGTTTGTTTCAGACATATATCTTTGTTATTGGCCTAACCAATACTTGTGTCTAGCATTTACCAGTGAAGAAGGGTCATTACATTTATCATGCACCAGCAAGGTCATGTTTAAACTGACCTGATTGTTCATCAATGCCTGCAACCATTGCCTGAATTCCAATTTACCTCAAAGTGATTGTTGACCTAATCCTGCTTGCCAAACTTCCAGTACTCTATTTCTTCTACATACTCTTGTTCCCTAAGCAACTTCAATGCTATTTAATGGTGAGTTGCGGTGAACTGGTAATATTATGCATTATTTTCCTGTCCTATCCATTGTCATGCTTTTAAATAAACTGCACCCAATTTGGCTTGTGATCTTGGTAAACATTTGGTTGCTATTACAGTTATTGAGTGTTTATTTTCTTTTGAGTTTTACATTGTGATATTTGCATTACAGCATCAAGTCTTGTGTTATGCTTTGTGTTAGCCTTGCTATATTGTACTGAGTAAGTGTCCTGCTTCTTGCTGAAGCTCTATACCTGTTTGCTAAATTTAATCTCAGTCTTACTTTTATCCACTTGAAGTATGAGTCCTCTTTATTTGCAATTAAAACAGAATAGACTCAAGTTTTGTACTTGTTAATTTGATTGGAGCTGTTGGTGTGGGACCCAGCTGGCCAGCTGTTGTGGAGGCCTGGAGTACCCAACTGCTGGCTCTTGACCTTCCTCTCCTAAGTACCATCACTTCCCTACCTTGAACTCCTTGAAGAGTGCAGTACTCATTCTCATATATTGTACCAAATTGGATGTTAACCTAATTGACTACATAACTAAACCATCTTATCAGGCCAACTAATTGCTATTTTAGGGCCCTTTTCATGATCTTACAGTTGGTCTAGATCAGGGGTCTCCAAACTATGGCCCCCGGGCCGGATCCGGCCCTCGGCTAGGTTCCATCCGGCCTGCCGACGGTATCTCGCATATCCACATAATGTGTACAAAAATCGAGCGTGGCGTTTATTTCTGATTACGCATGAACTAAAAAACAGTAAATGGGCGTGATTGGTGTCTCTAAAAATTGATAAAATATTTGCAAATGTTGCCATGAACCACCCAAGACCCTTTGATTGAGGAGAACATTATCATCCTGGTCTGCTTGCCAGTGTGAACCCAAGTTTGGAAGTGTTTCAGGTGACAATGTCAGGACCAGGAAAGAAGAGAAATGTGGGCTCTGAATGCCGTGAATTCAAGGAAAAGTTTGATGCATGCTACTTTGTTATCGAGTTTGATATGTTGGTAACAAAGCATTATGGTTAATATGCAATGATAGCATATTGCAGTGCCGAAAGAGAGCAACACTCAGAGACATTATGATACAAAACACTATTCGCAACTCAAAGGAAAGCTTCTTGCAGACAAGCTGGAAGCGCCGAGACACAACTTGGCAGCACAACAATTTTTGTTCGAGAAAAAGAATGCCGAGAATGAAGCTGCAGCAATCAAAAGTTTCCGTGTGTTACATCTTTTGGCAAAATGAGGAAAGCCCTTGACCAATGGTGAGTTAATTAAATTATGCATCATTGAAGCAGCCAACTAACTCTGCCCGGAAAAAGTATACTTGTCTAAAACTATAAGCTCTTCGGCAAATACAGATGCTCGTCGAGTTGAAGATATTGGAATAAATATAGTGTCTCAACTCGAAGAAAAAGCCAGAAAATTCAAGTACTTTTCTCTCGCGCTTGATGAATCAACTGATGTCACTTCTACCTCGCAGTTGCTGTATGTTCGTGGGGTCAGAGAAGATTTTGAAGTGATTGAAGAGTTGGTCACGGTGCACGACATGCGCGGTACAATAACAGGCAAGGAAGTTTTCGAAGAAGTTGAGAAATCTCTCCTGCATGAGGGCCTGGAGTAGAAACGGTTCAAGCGCGTCACAACCGATGGTCAAGAAACATGTGCGGCTCTGGAAAAGGGTTAGTTGGGCAAATTTACAAAACTGCTGCAATTGCGGGCTGTCCCAAGTGTTTGGTTTTTCACTGCATTATTCACCAGCAGGCACTGTGGCAAATATATGGGTTTATCTTCTGTGATGGAACTTGTTGTTTCAATAGTAAACTGCATTCGTTCTCACGGACTTAACCATCGTTAGTTTCGTGCTTTCTTGGAGGAGATAGAAGCAGAATATCCAGATTTGACCTACGTATCACACTTCCGTTCGTTTGCTTACCTGTGGCAAGGTGTTCATGTTGTCACGATTTTTTTAACTCCGGGCAGAAATTGAAATTTTTCAGGATGAACAGAATTAACCCCAGCCACTACTCACATAGGAAATTAGCTTTTTCTGTGTATCTGACCACACACATGAACAAGTTCAATCTTAGACTACAGGACAAAAGCTATTTAATTTATTTTTAAAAGCTATTTTTGACAAAAGCTCTTTAATTTTGTTTGACACTCAGTTGATGAGGAACTGTTTCAAGCAATTTCATGTTGCGAAAAGTTTGAGCGAGAAACTTCATTCCCAAGAAGATTTGCGCAAGGCATTATTTGCAATCTGAAATAGCAATTTCAAAAACGTCATGCATCTGCAGCAATTTTAAAGATTTTCCAAAATCCATTTGATTTTTCCATTGAAGATTTGCCATCTGAACTTCAATTGGAAGTAGTTGATCAGCAAGCCAATGACGCATTGAAGGACAGATTCAGAGAAGGTAAACTGATTGACTTTTACAAGTGTCTACCAAGCAATGAATATGCAGTATGCTCATCTACAAGCCTTTGCTTGCGGTTCTATTTCCAGTTTTGGCACAACCTATTTTTGTGAACAAACATTTTCTAATATGAAGTATGTCATGTCTAGCTACAGTGCAGCCTTAGCCAACAAACATTTACAATCCATTCTGATGATAGGAAGCAGTAATTTTGATCCATAACTCAATGCTATTTTGTATGAAAAGAAACAATTCTATGCCTCTCATTAATGCTGTTTCACGTTGAATATTCTTCAAGATTACACTCTAATAATTATAGCCATAATTATTATGTCCCCCATGTATTTAGGAGCCATGCTTATCACGCCAATTAATGATGAAGATTTAAGATTAAGCAAAGAATAAGCGTTGGAAGATAGTGTACAATTGCTCCGTAAGACAAATTGCAGAATAAAATAGTTATTAGTGCGCTAATTTAGACTATCGAATTTTATTCATAATTTATGCTGCCCTTCCCTCCACCCACAAATTTCTCCGGCCCACGAAGGTTTCAGTAAGCTTGATCTTGGCCCTTGGTGAAAAAAGTTTGGAGACCCCTGGTCTAGATAATTTCAGAGTATTAGGAGCCAATGCCTCTTGTCAACTTTGTTGGTCAGGACCGTGACTCAATTTTGTGCCTGGAGTAACCTGACTTACTACTGGACCAAGTTACTAGTACTACTTGTAGTAACCTAGTCTAGAGACTTACTGCTTGACTAGATAATAGCAATGTGGTTAGGATAGTTCAGTTATGATAAATGTTAGGTGTATTTGTTGCTAGGTGGTTCCAGGATGTGCCAGTTGTTTATTCATGCCACATTGAACCTTGCCATTCAAGATGTTTGAGATTGAGCTGATAATATACCTTGGTGTTTTCTTGCTAGGAGTAGTACTGTATAAGTATTATATTGTTTGCTTGCATTCAGACCATAACAATTTTCAAATACTTGCAAGCCAAGTAGCCTTTCAAAGTTGGTACTCAAGTGCCATAGACTGAAAGATCCTATGACCAAGTCAGAAAGAAGCCAAGCCCTTGTAAATGTTTAGGAAGCTTAATTCTTGTACCTTGTGCCATTCCTGATGTCTTTTTTACAACAATTCTCTTTAACTTCACTTCTTAATGGTTTATCTGTCTGCTACAAATATTATAATCAATATTTAAAACTTCTACCTCCAATTGTATCCAAAGTTGGATACAATGCATGAATCAGTTGACAGAATAAATCATTTTGAAAAATATCAAATTTTATTTTTAATATTAATAATAGTGAAAAAAATAATTTTGTCTGTTACATCTCTTATACCGTAATTGATATTTAACACACTTCTACCCGTCCAATCAATCTGAAATTTTGCACTCTTGTGTAAAGTTGGAGACAATGCATGTATCATCAATTGACAGAATAAATTTGAAAAATTTAAATTTTTAGATTTTAAAAATAAAATTAGAAATTAATTTTCTAATATATAATAAAATTAGAAATTCATTGTACATGTGTGACATTTGATACACTGGATTCTTTAGCAGTGTTGTCTTTAAAAAGTAATTTTTAAATGCATATTATTGTTACAACACTTCTCTCTAACTTGAATTCTTG